TGATTTCTGCATACCTCGCCAATACCGTATCTGTCACCCAATTCTGAAGTTCCTAGGCAGCCTACTTGTGGGCAGCTTTTCATCTCCAAGTGGTCGACCGGTCCTATGTTAAGTTGTGGAGCCAAATATTATGTTGAAACTCAATAAATTCTAGTAGAGATGGAGAAAAACTAAATTTTCTATTTTCTATACTCTCCGACGCCCAAATGAAAAATGCTAACAATTCAGTGAAAAAGACCATAAATCTTTTCATTTCTACACTTGTTACCCCCGGTCACGAACCTTAAGAAATATTTCACCCATGCATTCTAACACAAGAGTTCGAGCAGCATCTTATAGGTGACCACACCGCATGGTAAAGGTTTTGGTGTTGTCAAGAAGAATTTAAGGAAAGCCGTCCGCACAAGAAAAAATATCTTTTGAGAAATATTCAGGCCCCGCACAAATTTCCACCAACCTGCCAACAATATTTTTTGTTAAAGTCCCGCTCTTCTCTTTACACCACACCAGTACATCCTCATTTGTCGATAGACAGAATCAACAGACGAAAACAAACTCTGATTATCGTATCATAATAACGCTATGCATTAAATATGAAAACATCTCTGCTCGGAGTCATTGTTGAAGAATAATGGAGAAAATACCGGAGTTGAAGAATAAATGAACCAAGGTTGTAGCAACAATTCACGAACTTGAAGACAAAAAATCAAACTTGATAAATTCTTCCAAAGACTTGATCATGATACCGTTGTCCTCAAACAGTATTTGCCCCCTCTAGGAATGATTTAATACTGGAAGGGTTGATGACAAATGATTTGCAGGATTTAAACAAACGTTGCAAGGATTAATATTCAAACAATTAAATATAATATTTGAAAACTCAAGAACACAAAAGATTCGTGTATTTCTGGGCCTTTCAAAATGAAGTGTCAATAATTAATTGAATGAACAATAAATTAGACAATAAAAATTGGACAACAGATCTTAAGTCATTGTAGAGGATGTGGGCTTACCTTTTCAAGAAAAAGGAGGGAATTATACAATCATGCTTGGTGTACACCAAATTTTACACCCTACCATGTTGCAATACACCATTGAGCAGTTTTAAAGAAAAAACGTTTTTTCAACCAATTATTGCTTAACCACAATTGTAACACCAAACATAATGTAGAAAAAGAGTTAAGTCATTTGTACCACTTTCTTTACCATTTACTTCATAGATGAATGATGTGGCAGATGGATAATAATTAAATTAAATGTGTGAAATGTGAAAATTGGTGTGAGATTATGCCAAATATAAATTTGGTGAATTGGAGTGTAAAGAAAGGAATACATGTAACAAGATTGGTTAAAAAAATGGTGTACATGTGTCATTATCCATTAATATTAGTTGATGCTCTCACTTATGACATCATCAAACAACAAAATCTGAGGAACAGAAAAGAACCATCACAAAATTTTAAACAATAATTAAAATATAAACAAAAACGTGACCATCATTATATGCGGTAAAGATCATCAAATCAAAGTAATGTGCTTTTTTTCCCCCCTGATTAACATACATTTTAGCAAAATAACCATTCAACTGACAGAACCCAAAAGCTGTATAAGAATAATGGAGAAAACACCGCGGTTCAAGAATAAAGGAACCAAGGTTGCAGCAACAATTCAGGAACTTGAAGATAAAAATCAAACTCGATAAATTCCTTAAAAGACTTGATCACGATACTGTTGTGCTCAAACAATGTTTCCCCCCTCTATGAATGATTTAATGCTTGAAGGGTTGATGGCAAATAATTTGCAGAATTTAAACAAGTCTTGCAAAGATTAATGCTCAAGTCATTAAGTATATTCCTTGAATACTCAAGAATACAAAAGAACTTTGAATATGAAAAGGAAAATATGTATATTTTGAATGAAATTCTCTTTCAAAATTGGTGGATATAGTTTTTTGTATGATTTCTCATTTTTTAAGTTGATCATAAACCACTTATTTATAGCCTAGAAACAATGCTACACGAAGTGGTGCAAAAAACTCTCCAAAAGCCACCAAATTTAAATTCCAAAGGGGCAAAAACCGGCCTCAAAACGGTCGAAAATTTGTACCATGCGGCCGCATGGTATAAAATATACCGGTACATTTAGTCCCGATATATGACTATGCGATCGCATGGTTCACTAATCAGGCAATTTGATCATCTTCCATTCCAAAACTCTCTTCTTCTTCTTCTCAATTCAATTATTGAACACCATACAACAGTTATAGGCAGAAAAGAAAATGGGCGAGAAAGCCATAGGCTGGCCATTACCAATAAGCCAACTAATCCCTTCTTCCGAATGACGTCTTCCCAGATTGAGCTCGACTCTTCCCCTTTTAATCTTGCATGAAAGAACGGATAGTGAGGATAGTATTTATCTTTAAGAATGCAGGGATTTTGGATGAATTAAAAGACATCAATATTGCTTAATTATAAGCTTGGTTGAAGGCTTTGGGGTCTCAAAAGCCTGTCCTGCCACTTCGATTCAAATGGCACAATTGGTTCCATCTCAACCAGCAAATTCTTTTTTCCCTTGTTAGATTGTTCCCACCAGAAAAAAGATATTAACCATTCAAAATCGTGATTTTTTTTGATAACCGTGGATGTTTGGGGTAATTTGCGCGCTCCTTGACTAATTCCATGGAACACTGAAGTTTGCGGTCGGGTACTCATCTCAGTGGCCTTGAGAGGACTCGAACTGGTGATCATTGAGGAGCAAACCCAAAATCTGACTAATTAAGCAACCCCTCAAGGTTTCGTGAAATTTTTGAGAATAGATTGTGTGAAAAGTAATTTAATTTGAGAATGTATAGTTAAAAAATAATAAAAACTTATAGGTCTATGTGTAAAATTATTTTATTAGAAAAATGTACGATTAAAAATGAATTTTGAGAAAAGTAAATTTTAAAGAATCGCTACGGCTCGTTAGCCAATTGATTGGAATTTGAACATGCACATATTACTATTTTCAATTCCATAGAGCCATACAACAATTCATGGAACATTAATTACAGTACTCAACAAAGTACTTTTTGTTAGTTTAAAGGATAAATAATAATAATATAAAGTGCTGAAATTTGAGCAACTCCAAAAATTGGGCGTAAAAATTAACTTTCAACCACATCATGTTGCCCACTGATATGATCATAGGTTAAATTCAATCTCTTCGCTTCTTGTTGAAATATGTTTTTCTTTTACGTCTTATATTATATTTAAATGGCATCATATCTATAAAAGAAAAAGCGATAATGTCTGCTCGATGACAAAAGAGGACCGCTTTCTTTCAAACAAATATCAGTTCCATCATCAAGGCCCAGCAAGTGGACAACTTTATTTCAGCAACAACAATATAAGGTTCAAAACTTCTTGTTCCATCCGGCGCAAAACCACTCCATCGCTAGTATAGTGGTGATGTTATTTGTAATACAGTGATGAATAAATATACAAAAATAATAACTTAATAAGCAAACAAGTTCATAGGTTTTACCGGAGTTCTTGTTGAACCACACGGGCATACTCATTTTATCTAGGGCCATTGATCCAAAACTCGAGTACGGTTCGTGTGCTCTATCATGATGAATGAATTTATTTTAGAGTGATGCTATAAGAACATAATTGTCTAAATAATGGTCTAAATAATTACAAGTGACATTGATCAAAACATTTAATTCAAATCTGACACTTCACATCAACGACATGATGGTTGTCACATCACATTATTTCATTCATAATGTACATTTAGCCTCTATTTGGTATCCATTTTCAAACAAATATCAGTTCCATCATCGAGGCCCAACAAGTGGACAACTTTATTTCAACAGCAACAATATAAGGTTCAAAACTTCTTATTCCATCCGGCGCAAAACCACTCCATCACTAGAGTAGTGATGATGTTATTTGTATTACAATGATGAATAAATATACAAAAATAATAACTTAATAAGCAAACAAGTTCATAGGTTTTACCGGAGTTCTTGTTGAACCACGCGGGCATGCTCATTTTATCTAGGGCCATTGATCCAAAACTCGAGTAGGGTTCGTGTGCTCTATCATGATGAATGAATTTATTTTAGAGTGATGCTATAAGAACATAATTGTCTACATAATGGTCTAATAATTACAAGTGACATTGATCAAAACATTTAATTCAAATTTGACACTTTCACATCAACGATAGGATGGTTGTCACATCACATTATTTCATTCATAATATATATTTATTATGTACACTTAACATTTTCCTTGATTATATGTAGCATCACTATTTCCTACGTCCTTCCCCTACTTTTGTCCTCTAGTGGTTATTCCATATCCAAAGCACCATTTTTTCATTCATAGAGGATTAAATCCAAAGCACCATTTTTTCATTCATAGAGGATTAAAGGCCTCGTATAATTTAGACTCCGTTTGAAGATCATTATTTCAACTCTTTATCTTATATACTCATTTTTAATTATACATTCATACAATAAAATATTTTGCACGTAATCTCAAAATTTTTTCATACTTTTTAGCTACACATTTAAAATAATTCACTGTTCAAAATTTTATTTTTACCAAATAACGGCTATAAAAAAGGTGCTTAGTAGCTTAATTAAGCCAAATTAAAATTTTATAATTGCTCATGAAATTTAGGTCTTGTTTGATAGTCGTTGTGGTGTAAAATCATTTTTTTTTTTTAAATTTATGTACAAAATAATTTATGGTGAATGTTTAATTAAAAATAATATAAAAAATAAATTATTTTGTTTGAAAGGAGGTCCAACAACTGCTCACTCACTCGCGTTGCAAATAGGTACCCCTCGTAATTCCTAAAATCGCTAACACCGCCATTGAACTCGTTAAAACTAAAACCCTTCCAATTTCAAGACTTCAAATAAAATCTCCCTCTCGCACAAATTCACTTTTTGTTTCCAGAAAACCCTAAAACCCTTCATAGACATTAATTAAATTGCAATAGAAATGACGGATGATTCTAGAGACATCGAGAAGCTTTACGAGTATGGAGAGAAACTCAGCGAAGCCAAAGAAAAATCTCAAGTCAGTAATTTTTATTTTTATTTTTTATCTGATTCAGGCGTTTCTGCCCCTTTTTATGTTTTTTTTTTTGGTTATGATTGTGTTCGATTTTGGGAGCAGAATAAGGGGGATTACGAGGGAATAATTGCGGCTGCAAATGGCAGCGTGAAGGCGAAGCAATTGGCTGCGCAGCTGATACCAAGGTTTTTCAAGCATTTTCCTGAGCTCTCGGAGCAAGCTCTCGACCAGCACTTGTATCTGTGCGAGGATGAGGAACTTGGGGTTGGGAATCTATTCTCCATTTAATGCTTTTTATTTGTGTTTTTCTTGATACATAATATGAATTTACAAAAGGGGAATTCTTTTACTAAATTGGCCTGTTATTTACTATTCGGATTTCGGGGTATTGGTTTATGTTCGACTTATTACTTGTTTAGTTTATTTGCCAAGAGTGATTTATAAGTAGAATTCATTGAAGCTATTATTTGATATCTCGTGAGCAGTAAATGAGTTCCGGTCTTCATTATGTTATCGTTCCCAAATGTTTAGTTTTTAAATTTTTTATGTACTTCCATAAAGGTGAAAAGCTGGAAGCTTCAATAGTTCCTTTCATATGTATTATGACAGTATCCATCCCTACTCAAGAAGGTGTCAGACATGATTCTTTCCCTTAACCTGTGAAATATCCTAATTTTTCTCTTTTAGAGCTCTTGGTACAAAACTCTTCCTTTCCAAGCACATGTAGTCCTCCATTGGGTTGTGCTATGGGCTAGTGTGCCCCGAAACAAGCTAACCATAGTGAGACCTAATGCTTTAGCAATTGTACAGAAGAAGAGTGGAAAATGAAAGGAGAAGTCCGTGAAAATGGCTTTTGACTTATGTTTAAAAAGAATGATGCTATGCTTGCCGGGATGGAAAAATGGGGACTAATAATTGAAATTATGAAAAATGTTTCATTCAGTTTTGAATTGAATTGTTTACTGCTGGTTCAATTTTATAAACCTAATGCCATGCTTCCAAACATGCCATGAACGTGCTAGATTTTTTTTTTTTTTTGAATGTAGTCTACATTATTGCTTGCCCTCGTTTATTATGCATTAGCTAGGGAGATGGAGAGGAGTTTCCATGTGTAAGTTTAATGTTAAGCATGCTGCATCTGATTTAGTGGGCTGCAAATAGTAAATCTTATGGTCTCTCTTTGCTGCCTCAAGCAAGCGTTGTATGACCATAAATTAAACAAGCACCCTAAAAGCAGAGCCATCCACTGTAGGGGCTTTCTTCTAGCAATCCCTTAGTTGATATTTCACAGAATGCAATAGTGTTCTCTTTGTATTCAAAAGAAGTTTATCAGCCAATATAATTTTGGGTGGGGTAAATGTTGGTTGACAGCTTGGGGTCCGCTTTAAAAAATCGGGTTGATGCATGTTCACATATATAGTGATGATAAATTAATCCATTGTAGGAAGTCTACTAACTGTTTGTTTATGGTTAAAGGTAAGAGTACAAGCTATACGCGGGCTTCCTCTTTTTTGCAAGGATACTCCAGAACATCTGGCTAAAATAGTTGACATCCTTGGTCAGCTCCTTGTAGCGGGTAATTTAGATTTTGATATCTGCTTTTTGATTCATAATAATTTAATTTACTTGATTAGATAACAATAACGTCCTTCGTGATTTTAGGAGATAACGTGGAGCGTGACGCAGTGCATAAAGCCCTTATATCTTTATTGCGGCAGGATGTTAGAAGTAAGTTCCAGTGGTTGTAGCAAATGTTTTTCATACCACCTATCTTTTTCCCTTTTTCGCGAGTGCATCAGTGAAGGCTTCTGCTTTCCAAACTTCAATGTACTTCACATTTTTCTAAATTTGGTAGGTTTAGAAAATATTCTAGGCCAAATTCGGTTTTGCCCCCAAATTTTTACTAATACGAAATCTGGACCCAACACACTTGTTTACAGGGTATGGAACATGATTTAAACATATTGCGTAATGATTTTTAACATTTTGCAACATCAAATGTAAGTATTTGCTACTTGAAAAGGAAACAGGATCCTTACCTGAATGTTTTTGCACTACTGTGTATAATGGTTTTATGATGTTAAAGTTTATTGGTTTTTGAAATGATGAGATAGTTTGGATGCTAAGGTTTGCATAATTAGCGTTGTTTAGAAAATTGGCTTGATTAGTAGAAAGATGTCATGCTATTTAGAAAAATTAGCAAGATTATGTATACGTTGTTTTGCATCCCATTAAGGACTATGCTGTTAAATAAAAATGTTTCTTGAGTGCTCTAAAAATTGTGGGATTTTAGAGAACTCATTTTTCATTTGATTGAAAGGAACATAGTGTGATGTGTATTCTCAGTATCATTTTTAAAGAGGAAATTATGCTTTTTTTTAAAGGAGAAGTAGAAAGACTTGTATGTCTTCTATATGGAAATATCAATAGTAAACATTACACTTGTGTCTATCCAGCTGGTTGCATAATCTAAGTTGAGAACAATGATGTAAGACCATTTGGTCACTCCAGACCGTAAATATATTCGTTCTAATAAGGGTAAAAAATACCAAAAATTATTGAATTTTGCCCCAAATTTCACGTTTATGTGCTCACTTCATGAGTTAGTGTCGTAGGTACAAATTATATTTGTGAAAGTTTTATTGACATATTACAAAATGTATCTATTTTGTAGTTCGTGATATGGTTTTGTATAATGCCCATAATGCACTTCTGTGGGATTTTTATTGTAGAAAACCTGCTATCACTTTATTTTTATTGAACTATCGCAGACCGTTCCTATATAGACTATATACTGCATTTACACATTGGGTTTGTGCATATGTCTGTATACTGAAGGTGTTCAGTATGTTTGCTGCAGCTTCCTTGACAGCTTTATTTAAGCACATTGGAAGCACTGATGATCGAACTGCTGATGATGTTAGCACTTGGGAGACGATTCGTGAAAAGGTTCTCTGTTTTGTTAGAGATAAGGTAAAGGGATGCTTAATCTTTATGATATTTTTTAATTGCAAAGAGCTCTTATGGCATGCATGAATTGTGAATGAGGACATTTTGCAGGTGTTTCCTCTTAAGGGAGAGCTACTAAAGCCACAGGACGAAATGGAGAGGCATTTAACTAATTTGATAAAGCAGGTATATAACCTTTAATATGAAGAATCGTAGTTCTAGTGTTTCTCTTTAATGGCTCGTTTGTTTTGCTTAGTGGACTACTTTTCTTTATATTTACATTTTTGATCTAGAAGCTCAACACTTGTTGAGTGACAGCTTGTTGACTCCCTCATTTTCATGTTGCAGAATTTGCAAGATGTGACAGCAGTTGAATTTAAAATGTTTATTGACTTTTTGAAGAGCTTGAACTTATTTGGACAGAAGGCTCCTGTGGAGCGTGTTGAGGAACTTGTTGAGATCATTGAAGGCCAGGCTGATCTTGATGCTCAATTTGACGTATGTTCCTTTTCCAGTATATGACTAGTGGGCATTTAGTTGCCTTTTGTTATCTGTTTAGTTACTGCTGCTTTTGTATATTCTTGCTTCATTACTGTTTACTTGCCCTAGCATGTATATTTTCCTAATTTTGCTTTGCAGAGAATTGTTCACACTTTGGTCCAACTAAAATTTTGGTGAAAAATAGCTGCTTTGGAATGTCTTATGTTTGGTTTTTTTCCTGGTGGGGTACACTGGTGTGATTTTATGAACCATGTCAAAGGTCAATTCAATTTTGGCTGAACGACTGGCCTCCAATCTTGTTATACCCTTCCTTAAAGAACAATGGTTCTTTTTGTAATAGCAGCGACTAGTTATACTTACTCTACAAAATTTGGTGTTGAGTTAATGCATCTTTTTTCACCACTATGCTGAATCATGCTTGCATCATCAAATATCTACTCAGATTATGCCTTTTGCAATGACTATGGCTCTCTCTCTCTCTCTCTCTCATTTGACTTGTACTGTTACATTGCTGCTCGTGGACGGAAGCTGCTTTAGTTCTATGCAAAATATGCTTCAGGCCTTCAGCCACCTAAATTCCATTCCACTTCCTGGCTTACGTTCTAATTTCTTATGATATTTGTTTTAGTATGTCCACATTTTATCTTAGCATTTCTTATTACTGCTAAGTCCATCTTGTGGACATTTTGCCTTTTAAGGGCCCACCATTTTTTTTTTCCTTTTATGGTCTATTTGTTAGTACTGCATCATAATGCTCTAATTGTTGATCTATAGAATTTGCCTTTTAACTTAATAGGCATCTTTCAATCACATAAAATCCTTTCTCCAGTGTCATAAATGATTCTAGTCTATTCATTGTATTGTTTTCAAGTCCTCATTCGTTAGTAATAATTAAACCTAAACATGATCTCTGTAGTGACTACACTATTGTCTTTGTTCCTACTGTTGCTAATAGCATTTTGGGCCCATTTGATGTAGATTTTTGGGAGAATATATATTGTGAAGAGAGCTTTTTTGTTTGGAGAATGTGATTAAAAAAATTGGGGGAAAGTTATGAATCCACCTGCATTTATTAGGAGAATGTGGGGTTAAAAATGAGCTTGAGGAAAATGAGTTTTAAAGAATCTGTACCAAACACGGCTTCATGAATTCCCTATTAATCGTGCTTAACATATAACTTTTAAATTTCTAAGTACTTCCTCTCCTAGGTTTATCAACTGATTGTGTCAAATACAATAACATCCACCAATGACCTTATGCAATGTCTCCTGAGCTCTTACACGACTGGAGCTAAAAGATAAGAACATAAGTCAAAATCTTGATGTAAACCCTTGGTAGTAAGATATCATCTACTACTAGTATTACTCTGTTAATATTGATATATTTGGCAGAAAATCATTTTTATTAGCATCTGCCAATGCACTTCCCTGGTCACCCTATGTATATATTATTTTTTTTTCCTATACTTCTCAATCTGTCTCCGAAGTAGGTAATGATACGAAACAGAATTGTTTTCCGTGTCCTTTGAATACATACTTCATATATGTTCAGATGACAGCCCCCCATAATTTCGTAGCATGACTTGTCCTTTCAAAAAAAAAAAAAAAAATTTCTTAGCATGACTTGTGAATTTAATACCTTTGTAGTTTGTAAAATCTTGAATAACATTTATTTTTCTCCACTTCTCAATCTGTCTCCGAAGTAGGTAATGATACAGAACAGAATTGTTCTCTTGAGTCCTTTGAATACATACTTCATATATGTTCAGATGACAGTCCTGCATGATTTCGTAGTATGACTCATGAATTAATACCTTTGTAGTTTGTGAAATCTTGAATAACATTTATTTTTAAAGTAAACACTACTATACTACTACTCCATTCATTAGGCTTTTTTTCCTTTTCAATATCTCGTTGAATAATTTTGTCGAGCTTAAAAAATCTTTCACGCATTGATAGAATTTCAATACGAACTGATTGCTTTTCTTATCTTCATGCTTCATCCTATTCAGAGCCCCCATACTTCCAAGATAAGTTATAAGATGGGTAACTCTTTGGCAAGTCCTCACATTGCATCTCTTAAAACTCTGCCTATGGTTCTTCACAATGGGTAGTATACTTGGAACGTGGATGGAGGAGGGTTGCGCTATAACACTTCTTATGACATCAATCTTGGTGTCTACTATGTCTATGCAAATTATTTTGTAACCTTATTTAATAGTACTTCAATCTGACAAGCTTTCTCCTCTCACCTCTATCAGGTTACAGATGGTGATCACATCGAACGTTTTATATCCTGCCTGCGCATGGCCCTTCCGTTTTTCATGGTATATTCCTTGAGACAATTTGAAAAATTAATAATTGTAGTTTTGATCCATTAACATCATTGTATATGGTTGCAGAGGGGTGCATCAAGCAGTAAGTTTCTCAACTATCTGAACAAGCAAATTGTACCAGTCTTTGACAAGGTAGTACTTGCCATTTGAACTGAATTACTACCAATTTGAATGATTGAGTTGCATAAAAGTTTTAAGCTAGCAATTTGTCTTTTGCTTCTACTTGTGACTGCTTCATATTGAAAGATTCATATTGCGGTTATCTGATGAATGTTAAATCTCTTTCCCCTTCAGCTTCCTGAAGAACGAAAATTAGACCTGCTTAAGAACCTTGCAGAATGTTCACTTTATGCAAGACCACAGGACGCAAGACAGATTCTTCCTTCAATTGTTCAACTTTTAAAGGTATTTCTTTAGAAGGAGATGGAAATGATGCTGTTTCTCCAAGTTACCTGCATATTATCAATTGTAATTCCTTCTCTGCTGATCCCTTTTCTTTTGATATCGTATTAATCGATCCAAACATGCTATTATTGGCAAAAATCAAACTGACCTCTCTTAACAGCAAGATTCTTCTTGCTTTTACTGGTTTTGATTTTATTTCTTCCATATTGCCTTTCCTCTTATTAATATATATATGTGAATCATTCTGTTCTTCAAACATACGAATTCTTTGCTTTCCATGATTGCATTAATGTCTCTCTCTCTCTCACACACACACACACACACATATTAGAGTACCTTTTTGCTCATACAAAATAATACCACTCAGATATTTCTATTTACAGAACATGCTCATATTTTATCTCGTCTTATTCTTCAACTGGGCGTTAATGTTTGGATATAATTTTTCCTAATGAATGAAAAAAATCATTTCAAATTTACAGTATTCTTGTGAGAGGTAATGCTGTCAAAACATCCTAAGCCAACACATGCTCATATTTTATCTCCTCTTATTCTTCTACTGGGCGTTAATGTTTGGATATAATTTTTCCTAATGAATGAAAAAAATCATTTCAAATTTACAGTATTCTTGTGAGATACGTAATGCTGTCAAAACATCCTAAGCCAACACAGCTCATTACCAAAAAATAATTTTTGGTATAGCATGTTCCATGGCGACGATTTACACTCCGACGTGGTGGTTACGAATTACTTAAATCTACAATTGGACTCTTGATTTTACCATGCGTTGTATGATCTCTAGATTGATTTAGGGAATTTTTTCTCTAAACCCCCTTTCTGGCTTTTGTCCAACAGAAATATATGGTTAGAAGGAAGATTGAAGAGATAAACTTCGCATTTGTTGAGTGTCTGTTGTATTCATTCCACCATTTAGCTCACAAGGTAAATGTGAGATATATTTTACCTGTCCATATATTTTTGTTGTGCTTCGAAATTGACTGGAGATTTCTCTTTATGATTTATTTAGACTCCAAATGCTACAAATAGCCTGTGTGGCTACAAGATCGTCACAGGTCAGCCTTCAGACAGACTTGGAGAAGATTTTTCAGATATATACAAGGACTTTACGGAAAGGTACTTTATGTGCCAATTCCGTACTTGTATTTTGTGAATTTGACACAAATCTTTGATGGTAGGACAAATAAAGTAAAAGACTGTTGAGGCTTAAAACCTACAGAAGAATTGTGTTTGGGCACCACAATACATCAGTGTTAGATATTGTAGAATAATAGGTTATCGGCTGTAGCCTTAAATATTAGTTTTGACGAGTCAACCTTCTCCGCAATGATAAGTGGTAAATTATGTTTTCCGCGCTCAAAAACTTTTTATCCTCAAATTCCGCTTTACATGGGTGTTCAGGTTTCTGTGGTCTTAGTTATATTTATTAGATCAAGTTGTAACAGAGTTTTTTCATGCTCCCTGGCTTATTTGCTTAATTCTTAGTTCCCAAGGCACGCATTTTATATAATCAGGTGTAAATAGTTACGAGCATAGCAAAAATAACAAATCAGTTGGTTTCTTTTACTTCCCCCCTTTTTTTCCATTTAAGCTCTCTACTGTCATCTTTAAAAGAACTTTAACTTTGAACTTGACTTCAATCTATGATGAAACAGATTGAGCACTATTGAGGATTTAGCAAAGGCTATGAATAAGAAACTGACACAAGGGATGGCTGAGCACAACAAAGCTATGGCAGCTGCTAAAACTGAAGAAGAAAAAAATGTCATTGTGGGTTTGCTTCCTAGTAGCTATTTTTGCCAGCTCATAACCACTTTCCTGTGTGATGTTAGGTAGAATGGACGTTGATTTGTCCGTCTACATGCATTGATTTCACTTTTCCTTTTTCCCCTTGACCTGCAGAAGAAGCAGAAGCAGAATGCTACAACTTGTCTTAGAACCTGCAACAACATACTGGCGATGGCTCAGGTGAATTCTTTTGCTAATGGCTCAAAATTATTCGTAATGCATTTTACAAAAAAATGTTTCTATGCTGCGTTTTTTATTTTTTTTTCATTTCAGGGATTTCGTTTCTATAAAATTGTTATTTTATTTAGAGTATGAATGAGATAGTGGAGAAATTTGATCTTTTCAAGTCTTACCAAATCTTCTTTGTTCTTGTATCTGCTTTTCAGCCATTGCATGCAAAAGCACCATCATTTATTGGGGATCAGAAAATTAGTTTGTCATGGAAAGAAGTAACTAAAGCTTCAACTCCATCAAGCACCGCTGCTGCTGGGTAACTGAGAAAGCACCTCCTGAAGTTTCCATTGTTACTATTCAGTTTTCTGTGTTGACATTCTCGGTTTGCCTTTGCAGTAAAAAACGAAGTGCTGCTACTAATGAATCTGGCGCCAATGCATCCAAAAGGGGTAGGGGAATGGGAGGTGTACAAAACCAACTTCTTAATAAGGCATTTGAAGGTTTAAATGGTGGCCGAGGCGGTGGAAGAGGTGGTGGGAGAGGTGGTGGATGGCGGGGTCGTGGTAGAGGAAGGAGTTATCGCTAAAACTGGTCTCGTTTACTGTATAATTCCTGCAATTCACTGATTCACGAGGTTGTTGTAAAAGTTTATTTTTCTCACCTAGTACTGTTCATTCGTAACTTGTATTCGATCAGTTCTCAGTTCTAACTAGCTCTCTCATTAGATATTATTTTGCTTGTCAAGCCTTTTCATTTGAATAAATTTTACAAATTTATGGAGTTTGTTTTTATTTTTCTTAATATTTTCTCCCCATAAAATGATGGGTTGCTGCGATTGTGGTCTTGTTATGAATGCTATGCGCGTACCCTTTCCGGGGAATTTAATCATATCACTAAATGGAAAAAACAAGGGAAAATTAGGCTCCCTACGCTAAAAAGTGAACAAATTAGATTAATACACTTAAACTAATTAAAACCTCTAATGACCGTAACAATTACGGTCTAAAATCTCCCCAAATCCCCCAAAACTAGCAATGGCACCGAAGGCAGAGAAGAAGCCGGCCGAGAACAAGCCAACCGCCGAGAAGGCTCCGGCGGAGAA